TTTTTTCAAACGATAGATTAATTACTAAAAGAAATACTTACAACCGGCTCACTAGCCAGAAAAAGGAGGCCTACCAATATCCAAAGGTAGCCTAAATATCACAACACAACACAAGAAGCACACAAAAGCTCCCCAATGAGAGAATACAAGCTCTCCAACGGGAGAATTACACTCCCATCGGAAGAATCAACATTCCTAAAAACAGAGATAAAAAAACAAATGCACTCTTACAACACAAAACGAACACAAAACACAAAAAATAAACTATAGCCCTTCTCACAGCAACGAAACCAGACAGAACACCATGACGCCGACACCTACGAGGGGCCACCCATACGGACAAAGACTTGATCCAAGCCTCAAAGCCAGAAACTGCAGATAACTCGCCTAACCAATTTCAAGACTAAAGGAGCGTGACTCTCGCCCGGGTAGCAACCCATAGACCCGCAACCAGAGCAAACACCACAAACTCCACCTCCCAAATCCCGACAACCCGGGCCCAGTACACAAGACCAGACCCGACCTGACCCCACTGCAGCCCAACCGGCCCAACAACGGAGAATAACGGGAGAAGAGAGGAGAGTGGAACCGCCCAAACTCGGCCCTGACCACCACCGAGGGGATAATCGGAGCCACAACCTACTGCACAGCCTCGTCGGAAGCCCGCCGCCGCCTATACGCCGAGGACTCGCCGGAATACATCTTACCTTGACGACCTAGATGGAGGCGAAATCAAGGAAGAATTCGCCGCGCCGCTCGAAGAAGAGGCCGCCACCACATTCGACGGTTCTCTGGAAGCAGGCCGTACAGCGCGGTGAAGGTCGCCGTCATGGTGGCCCGAAGGCCCGACTGAGAGAAGGCAAAGATAGCGCGATTTAGTTTTTATTTTTTCTGATTTGGGGATCAAAGAGAGAGAGAGGGATAACAAACTACCAAGTTGGGATGGTTCGGTTTTACAAAAAGTATATTTCGTTCGACTCGTTTGGAGATTCAGGTAGACAGGTACAACTGAATCACAACCGTTAGAATTAGATATTTAAAGATTTCTAATATATGTGTCGATACTTGGCATGTAACGCCTCTTCTAGGTTTGTGACTGTGTATATATATCTATATCTATATCTATATATAATAATAAGAATTACCTTTTTTCAAAAATAGTAGGTCAAAGTTTGGTTAAAATCCAACCAACATTAATTACATGCCATTTATAGTAACTTTTAATTATTTTTTTTTTCCAAAAAATCGGATAACATTAAATCATGCCCTTAAATTGTGGCATTTGTTACTTATTTTTATTTAAATAAAATGGGAATACATTAATTTGACCTAAAAATTTGGAAGTTGTTAAATTACACAAATGAAGTTAGGGTTGATTTAAAACTTTATCATGGAAACAACTTTTTTCACCAAATATAATTTTATTAGTATGGTAGGTTTGTTTGTTATATAGAAGGTTGACACCACTATGAAGCCAACTGTTGGCTTCATAGCAAAACCGACTAATTCAGTTGATTTGTTGGCAACTTTTATTTTTTTCACAGAAAGAAATCACTGTTGAGTATTCAATTGAAAAATAAAGTTGCGTCTCATATCATTATGATATATTCACTTCATATCACTTTTAGTTTGGGTGATTATTCAATTACTTTAAAGGAGAGGACTGACAAATATAATTTAAAAATTTAAAAATTTTCGTCAAATCATGGAAACATAATTTATTCAATATAATTAACCAAACCGCTTGCCTTGATGAATTTGGATATTAGTCTAAGGAATTTAATTAACTAAATACCATTCATAACATAATATTAGTCAAATCAAAAAATATTGCAGAATGTGATAATTACATACTCAAATTCAAAATATTTACATTTTATTTTTCTTTTCTAATATATCTCCGAATCATACCAGAAAATATGTCTTATCCCTATGTTATATGCTCCAGTTATTTACCTGGTTATAAACAAAACGTCAAAAAAAAATAAAAATAAAAAAAAACACACTTGATAAAATTTTGATCAAGTCGTTTATTTACATGATTGTTCTTTGTTATGTTTTTGTGCTTGTTTTTATGTGTTTATGTGTGTTATCGAGTCGGTTTTAGGTTCGTTTTAGTGTCGACCGTTCCATTTTATCATTTTCCGAGTGTTTCTTTGTCTTTCTTTTTATTTTATATTTTTGGCGTACTTTTCCGTGCTTTGTGATGAAATTTCATATTATTCGGAGGATGGATGAGGAGAGTCGAGCGAAATTCCCAAGAATCCCGAGAAGTTTCGAGTCATTCGCACGAACCATTTCAAACCGAGTGTTTCGAGTCTTAGTCGAGGCAGAGGCGCCTTAAGCAAGCCATACTCGCGACCTCGCAGCCACTCCCACGACCTCGCGGATGCACCAAGCCCGCGCTTCGCAGATGCACGCGCGCCGCACGCCGCGCGCTCGCGGAAACTCTAGCGAGCTCGAGAGTTCAAAAATCTATCGCTGCCGCTCCTGGCGGATTTCCCCGCGAGCTCGAGAGTGGCGCAATCACGACGCCCAACATGCCCATGACTCATGGATCCTCCCACGAGGTCGAGAGTGCCTTTTTCTCGTGCCGTCCCCCGTACCTGCCCGCGCCAACGGCCGTGCGCGTCCGTGCACCCCTGTGATGTTTGTTGCCCGCGAGCTCGCGAATTTCACGGAGACGTCGAGAGTGTCTCATTAAGTGTGCATTTTTCTAGTGTGTGTTTTGAGTGGGAGTATAAATATTTTTCTTCTTTTGCATTTTAGGGATCCACCACTCATTATTTCATTTTTCCTTTTTAGGATCTTATGTTATGTTTTAAGTTTGCTCTCTAGACTAAGGAGCTTATGTCATTTTCCGGGAGGCTTTCTGGCGACTTTCGTTTCTTTCAAGTTTCGAGCCTTTGACTCCGTTTTTCATCATCTACGCAATAGAAGAGTGGGTATTTAGTTTTAAAGCTCTTTACTTCAATTTTTGCCTCATTTTTACTTATAATGTTTATTAGGGTAAATTTGAGTTTGATTGATGATGGAGGGAAGGTTTGGACTTGATTGCTTGGGATGCTTGCTTGAGTAGTTATAGGGATTAATTGTTTGTCGATCTCGGTTAAGGGTTAAGACCCGATTAGGGCTTAATTACTTAGGGATAGAAAGCTAGGGTTAATGATCTAGTGCTCGTAGCTCGTTTATTTCTCTTTGTCGTTGATTATCATCTCGTTGTGTTGATGACTTGAGACTCCGATGGTTTAACTTCGTTAGTTGCTCGTGAGTCGTGATTGATATTGCCCTTAGTTAATTGCTCTCTTAGTGTTAAATCCAATCTCAAACCAATTGATTAGCATGTTTAGGATTTTATTTTCTCTTTTTGTGATTTGAACAATCGAGTAGTATATAAACCTCCGAAGCGCCTTCCTTTTGAGAACAACCCGAGTCGGGTAACTCGATTATGTCTTGCCCAAAAATCTACAAAACAAATGGCGCCGTTGCCGGGGAAGGCAAGTAGGACGCGTAATTTTCTATTTGATTGTTCTATTTTCTTGTGTTTCTCTTTATTTTTGTGATTTTTGCTTAATTTCCGTATTTCTCTTCATATTTCTCTTGCTTTTTGTCGATTGTTTTTGTTGCTTGCGTTTTACCTTGATTCCCGTTGGTGCGTTCGCGGGTATAGTTGTTGTTTGTGTTTATGCGAGGTAGACGAAGGCGTGCACCCATAGAGGAGACACAACCGTTCGATCTCTTCGTTGAGCTTTATATTGAAGAACCACAGCCGCAACCCGAAACCGAACCAATGGTGGGCTAAGGAAAGCAATTGCCACAACCACCTCCCCCGAACATGAGATATTTGCACGACCTATCATTGGAGACAACACTTCATGTCTCATGCTCGGGGAGGCGGCCCGAAACTACGACCTAAAAACCATCCACCTAAACCAACTTCCCTAATTCTACGGCTAGCCCAAGAAGATGCCTTAAACTTCATCTGAGAATTCTACTCCACCGGTAATACCTTTCCCCTCCAAGGCCTAACCGAAAACCAACTCCGCATGAGATGCATCTCTTATACCTTGAAAGATCGAGCCAAGACTTTGTTCATGACATTGCTTCCGAACTCGCTCAACACGTGGGAAGCCGTCTACGAGAAGTTCATGGGCAAGTACTATTCACACCAAAAGACCACCGACCTCCGTACCCAAATGGCTAGCTTTAGCCAAAACATAGGCGAAACTTTTCACGAGGCTTGAGAGAGATTCAAGGGGTATCAACTCCAATGCCCACATCACCATTTTTGCCTCGGAGTCCTCAATCAATTTTTCTACGACGGGCTCCACCAAACCCTTCAATACATTGTTGACCACGCAGCCGGAGGAGACATAGGGAGCCACACGGTGGGGGAAATCTATGAGCTCTATGAGATGTTGAGCAAAATTTCTCAAAGGAAGAGCGTTCGTAAGAGGACCCCCGTCAATGAA